TTTCTCTGGCCTATTTTAATATAGCACTATGTCCTGATTTCGGACGGTTTGTTCGCCTCTTCTACGGGTTCATGAACACCGAACTTTATATGACCCAAATAATGACTTCTAAAAGAGGGGTAGAGCTCCCTTCTGCTCTTTTTCTTCCCCCCACTCCCGTGGAGCTGGAAAACCAAGAGTGGGCGTGAAATTTTGTCGGGGCCTCTGAAGCACCTGTCGTTTTGGGGGAGAGCTGAAAATGCCTGGACGCTCTAGGAATGGAATAGCTAAAGACAGTGTTGTATTCCATTTGCGTGCACAATCGTCTGCTTTCGTATTCGAGTGTCCCTCCCCCCTTGCTCCCCCAACGAGATGCAGTTCCCACGGTAGATATTCCCTGTTGGAAAAATCTGTTTTTAGTGCTTCATGATGCTCTCTATTCTTTTTATTCGTTCTATCATTCTCCCCCTCTGATGTCGCATATATTGTTTTTAATTTATTTTTCGCATTAGTAGTAGAAAAGAATATTTAGAAAACGGTTGAATAATTTCCATATAAGTATTACTAATATTAAAAAATTTGTTAGTAAAAGCCTCTATTTCGTTAGAAAAATCTCATTGTTTATTTTTTTCCTTTTTCTGTCGCCTAATTCGTTAATGTAAAAATCGTCCCAATTTTTAATTTGGAGTTTACAAAATATTGTCAAGTCTCAGTAAACTAGATGCTATATTTATGTATACATAAAAAAAAAAATAAGAGGGGAAAAAACAGCTTTTTGAACTAATTTATTTAATGAGAATAGAAGATTATTTTAATATTTATATATTTCTTTTTAATTGAAAAAAGAAAGCTCACTCACTTCAAAATAAATTAATAATTAAATAAATAAAAAATTAAAATTGTAGTGAAAGGAGTTTAATGATGAAAAGATTCAATTAAGTTGATTCAACCTACCTAGATGTAAAATTGGAAAAGTCACAAGAAATTAATTTGATTTTTTTTATAAATTAATACTAGTCATTTTCAAACCTAATTATTTTCCTTATTAGAAAATTTCTGCACTATAAAGTTGTCGCATTACAATTTATATGCTATTTTCTCACTTACACTTTGCACAAATTCTATTGAATAAATAATAATCATACAGCTGTATTACTTATTGAAATTATTAATATTTGCTTGTGCAATAATATTGGAAATTGAAATATAAGCTGCTGAATTCCTAAATACCAGAAATTTAATAATTTATTTTTTAATTTGCCAGCTTTCGGCCAAAAGTGCTTAAACGCACCATTTCAATAAATATTTTTTCACTAACACTGTGACTTTTATTTTTAAGTAATTTTATTTTTCTGCTTTTGTCAAGGGTTCTGAAGTTATTTATAAAATATAAGCAAATTAAGTTGAAGTAAACACTTTCTGTGGAGAAATTTTCAGACTACACTAGTTTTTTCTTTTTGCTTGAAATGGTTATTGACGAATTCGACTTACATGCATGCATCATGTTATTTCTTTAATAAACTATTATTTTTCATGCACGAAACTTTTTAATTGTCTTAATGAATATTATTTAAGCATAGCTAAATGAAAATACTACCAAATTTTATTAAAATTTCTATGCTTGACCTAAAATATGGGTTAAACTGATGCGTTGAAAATAAATAAAAAATAAAGGAAGTAGTCATTCAAATGTTTTTCATCCATTTAATCTGTTTTTGTGAAATTAACATGATTACATTATAATTATAGTTGGTTAATTAAAATGTGACTGAATATGGAATGACATTTTAAAAAAAATTGCCAAATCTGAATGATTATCATTCTAAATTTATAAATTAGTGTAAAAATGTTTTACTTAATTGAAATAATTTTACTGTTTAAGTCAAGCATACATATCTTATAGAAATACGTGTCTTTAAAAACAAAAGTATTAAAAAAAAATGTAAGTAGCATCATGATATAGTATGTCGGAATGAAGAGTTAAAGGGTTAATATAACACTTAGGTAACATAGGGAAAATATATTTTGGTAACATGACTTAGGTAACGTAGCGTGGTTAAAGATAGTTTACCCACGACACGCTTTTAATACACCCTACAAGTCAAAAGTAGTTGCAATAATATTACATTCTTAACAACTTTTTCGTATAGATTATGTAATACTAAAATTCAATAGTTTATACTTTGATAGTTACATCTGGACGCTACCAAACTCAACTGTCAAAGGGGTGGAAACTGTGGGGAGAAATTCTATACCACGTAATTAATCTTGAAGAATAAGCGGATGATCGGTATTTACTCTATTCCGCAGTTTCTTTCGATACATGTAAAATGTAAGACTGTCAACCAATCAGAATATGAGATATTTATATCTTAATGCTTAAGCATGTGGTACTTTAGACTAACCTTTCATTTTTTCCGACAAAATTATGCCAGTACGTTACTGCAGTAAACAGTTTTTGACAGGTATTTAAATAGTATACATTTACTTGTTTTTAGATTTATGATATTTCTTTTTTGTTTTTAGCATTTAAGGAATTAGCATTAGAATTTTTAGCATTTAATAAAATTAGATTTAAGAAACCGAAAGCTGACAAGCTTATAATTTTAAATTACTCGAAATCACAAATAGCATCATTTTATCAATTTTTTAGGAAAAATTAATAGAAACTCTAAAAATTATCAAACGCTATTTCTACTAATCTAAAAATGGCGCTGTTTTATTTTCTTCTACCTTATTTGAGTAGTATTATTGTCTAATAATACTATACTATAACATCGAATGTTAAGTACCAAAAATATCAAGATAACTCAAATTAAAAATTTGACCTAAAATCCAAGATGGCGAGTGTAGAGTTCTCTTAAAGATACCTTATGATAGAACAATCAACGAAAATACAGCAAATAATCGAAATACAATAAATAATCGAATCTAAAATAAATAATTGAAATACAATAGTACAATCATCGAAAAAACTTGCTTATTGGGAAAAAAGGGAAGATTTTTGACGAAGCAGAGATTCTTCGCAATAGAGTGTTATTAAGAACTAATACGAATGTTGATTCTAAATAACATTCAAATGTTTGATAATTTATGGGAAGTAAGAAAATTCCAGAACATATGAGTTTTTCAAAATCTAGCTGTATCCGGCAGCTGGGTTTCTCGTACAGACTCGCCAGTTAACCTGTACCGAAACCAAAACCGGAAACAGAACCAGGCTACCTTCGTTTCTCATGATTCAAGCTTTCGTTAAGTCGTACTACTGTTATATCGATTACAAAAAAAAATTCTCTTTGGGGCGATAAACGGCAAACGATATTTGAGGGAATAACCCGTATGATTGTGACGTCACATGTGAAAGTCTTTGCGTTCGAAAGTGGAGGTCGTTCTCGTATAGTACGTAGTAAAGTTTTTAGTTCTTTTTTGGAAAAAAAAAGAAAGACGGAAACAGCTGTTTTGTGGGGTAGAAAACAGAATAGATGCTAGTGGTAGTCTTTATTTATTTATTTGTTATTATTTTATTTTAAAGTCAATCAAAGATAGTATGCAACAATTTCTGTGAAATTGTTATTAAATTTTAGCGGGAAGGGGTTAGTTTATTAGGTGATTGAACGATCTCTTGTTTTATTCTTTAGAGAAGGGGATATTTTTTAATCAATTTTAATATTTATGATTAATAGAATTATTTCAAGAAAAATTAAACATTGACGTTAATCGGGTCTTCAGTTTTCAGCCTGTGTTGTGCCTAAACGAGTATTGCTTTTGTGCTAGTACAGAGCTATGTTGCTTCGGTACTTCGTTTTATTATGTAATTGGTTAAAAAGCATGCTTCCACACAATTGCAATTGTTGTTTTAAATTGACTGAAAAATGAAAAAACTGAATTGTGGTACTACCATGTTTTGTAAGGCTGTGTTCTCCTATGTCACTCGATTAGAAAATGTTTAAACAAAAAGGGACATTTTAGTCTTAGAGAAGCTTTTAGAATCATTTGCTCGCAATAACATTAGCTTTCTTTCTTTTTTTTTATCTTTTCCTTTTTTCATTTCCACATTTAATATAGATTTCATTTTTGTGGTCCAATAAAATTCAAAAGATATTACTGGCGTATTCTTTGCAGAAAATAATATGAATAAAAGAATGCTCAATTCGTTTAGTTTTATACTGCTAAAAAAATAATACATATATATTATAAACAGAGATAACGAATGGTAATTTTTTAAACAACCTATTTCAGCTTAATTAGCTTTGTTTTTTAAAACAGAAAATTCAAATTTTAATTGCTATAACGTTATCTTGAAAACATTTTCATTTGTTGGTTCTTAATACCAGCAAGTGACAAAGTAAACCGCTAGTTGGAAATTTTCCATAAACATACTTAACTCATGTCGGATAACAAAAGAATTATAACTGTAACAAAATATTTCTTTTGTAAATTGTAACTCACTACAACACATCCAATTTCTCTAAATATACAGATTTCACAGACTTTGCTATTTGAAATATTATTTTAGAGTCATAAGTCTTTTACGCACTTACATTATATTTTTAAATAAGCGAATTGTAAAAAAATCTCAAAAGAACGGCTGCTAACATTCCCCATTTCCGCCCATAGTACCTGCAGCTTGGTCCGCTTTTTCGCTATCTTCTCACGAAAACCACCGAACCATCCACCCCCCAAATGTAGGCCTCCCCTCCTTCCACCATACCTTTGTCTGTTGGTACTCTCTCCCCTCGTCCCCTTCATCTTCTCAGAGCGTAACATCACACTGTTGATTCTCCCCCATCCCTTTTTTTTTCCAAGGAATAAAATTGGAAGAAAAAGGCTATAAAAAAATCACGCAAAGTTAGCGCACTGAGACGAGCACTTCATTCATAAACAGGAGACTGCGCAAGCTCCGTGTTTTTAAGACAACACTCCAAGATACTTTCCAACGTTTTTATGAAAATAAACCGCACTGACTCCAGTTATCGTGCATAGTTATCTTTTTTGACGTATTAAGTGTTTTGAAAGTGGAGATAATTGGTAAAATTATTAATGGAAGAAAAAAAAATTATGCTTTTAATCGTCTGATTGATTCGAAAGTGAAAACGATAGTTGATAATATTGGTTACTGAATTCAAGATAGACTGCATTAAATCGTCAGGAGTACGAAACGATTATTTAAGTTGTTTATGGGATTAAAATTTTTTAAAAAAGATTGATTTAAATCGTCTAAAATGCTACAGTGGATATAAAATTGTGTCACTTGTTTTATCGTCTGTGAAATGTGTTGACAAGATGGTCTTCTAGTTAAAAACGATTTTCCCGACTATTTGAAAATGAGTTATATTTCTTTCAATTGCCTTGTTATGTGGATCTATCAAATGGGCTGAACTTTTTTGAAGTTATGGAAAACTTGGCTGTTCTTATCGAAGTGAATGCTGTGTTTGTACGCTCTGGTGCATTGAAGCAAAGAAATATGAACTAAGCAAAAACTTTTTTCATAGTAAAATTACTAGTCAATTAGAGAATTCTAGCTATACCAAAGATAAAACCCACTTTAGAAATAATTTTTATTTATTGAAAATTGTATATTATTGTATCTAGTCTCCCAGAATATCTTAATATATTAATTGAAATCTTTATAAGTTAATCGATCAAAAAAAAATCGTAAAATCTTTGATTAACTACTGAATTGTCTACCTCAGGAATTTGTCATTAAGAACACAATTTTGCTTGATTGTGATTAAACTGTGATATTATAAACTATTTCAAAATGATGCTGGCGCCGAAACCAAAACTAATCGCTCCTAAGCCACCGAAAGGTATGTATTATGAATTATTTTTCATTCTGATTTCTTTTAAAACTTTGTTAAAAATGTTTTAAAAGTTTTGGGAACCTAATCATCGCTGAACTTGCTTTTGTTCTTAACTCTTTTTAATAACAATTTTTAGTAGAAGTCTGTAGTTTTTTTTTAAAATTTCTTATAATGTTTTTATATTTTACATTGTTTCCACTCTTAACTAAAAATAACTCTGAACTCTTGTTAAGCATTTTTATTATTTAATATTTAAAGTTGCTGTGAAGTGTTATTTCATTTAAAACATTTCTAAAGTCATTCTTTTGTAAAAGAAATTTTTTTTTTTTTTAACAGTTAATCGTTAAAAAAAAATATTTGTTAATTTTGGTTCCTTTCTAATGTCGACAATATGTTAGTAATATTTTTATTAACGTAACTGTTAAAAATGCTTGCGTCATGTTTATTTAGAACTAAATAGGCTGTTTCTGTATTTGTTTTTATTTGACACTTTTTGGTGTTTGCTGCAGCTCTGTTTACATATCAGTCATTGCTTTCTTTAACTTAAAAGGAAATCCTAAAAGTTAAATATCCGGTTGTGGTTTTTCCCATTTTTCGTCATTTAAAATTTACAATTCATTATAAATTTACAACTGCATACTTATTCTAATCATCTCCGTTTAACACACTGTAAAATTTTTTATACTTTTAAGTTTGTTTAAGTAAGTTTTTAAGTTTGTTTACTATTGTTTAAGTTTTTTATTAGCTTTTTTAAGATAGTTCGAAAAAAATTGATCGGATTTTAAGGATTATAAATTGTTAGGAGTCTGATATAAGTATCCATGATTATTCTTGTTTTCTGTATAATTTTAAGATTTTTAAAGGTTTTTAAATTTTGATACAACCACACTTAAGTTAATTCTAAATGAATATTTTTTTTAATTGAATGAGCATGGCCGATTAATAGTTTATTCAAACAACTTTGCTTCATAGATTTATTTATTTTTTGTTAGATTTTTCAATACTTTTTAACTTTACCAGTCTTCTAACATCTGCCAAGTTCGCTAAATTTGATATTCCATGGCTTTCCACTTTTGCTCTATGCACACAGATATATGAACGGCTGGAATCATATATAATAAGCTGCATTTTCAAATCTTCTAACAGAACTTTTTTTCATTTTTAAATAATTTTTTTGGTTAATAACATCGCTATCTTGATGTATGGAATAAGGTGTATTGTGCTGTTAGTGGATATAAGGAAAACTTTCTAGGTATCTAGCTGAAAACAATACTAGTGAACTGTTTAATGTAAAAGAATTTACCCTTTGAATGCATTCTATCGCTAGACTGCCCACATCCCTAGCTCTTCATTACTATTATTATACAATACACACACACATATGTATATATAATGTGTTTTTCGGTGTTTATATAAGTGTGTAAAGAATTTTCTTTATTATATTGCGGTAATTTTTTGCTCTTAGTAATAAGACCTTGAACTTTTATTAAAATGTCTCTTAAACTCACTAATTAGCGCACTTCTGTTGCTGCCGGCTCCAGCTCATTCGCTGACGAAAAAAAAACTGATAAAAAAAAGGAGGCGCATATAATTTAATTATAAATTCCGTTTAATTGCGCACCATATGTTCGAAACCCTCACAGTTGATGAATGACGGCAGATGTTTTCCTTGCTGTGGAGGTAATGAAACAACTCGAACGTTGTTTGAGGCTCGTGCAAACGAAGGTCACTGGTCATGAACTGTTCATTAGAGGGAGACTGCATTTCTTTTAATACACCTACACTTTTTAGTACTTTATTCAGTCTACGCTATTGGCCTCATGAGAGCTAGCTTAGTTTTTTTTTCCTTCTTTTGTTCCTACATTGAAGTAAGTACCTGTGACTGTGGCTAAAAATACTTGTCTATCAGAAAATCATCTACAACATATTTTTTTAAGATCCTAAGTCTTTCTTATTCACTCTAGTTTAAACAACGATAGATAATAAGGAAAGTTTTGAAAAAAGAATAGGGGAAAAAAATCCATTATTATTATTTAAAATCCCTTACCCCGTAACACTTTTCTGTGTAAATATGGAGAAGATCCTGTATTTTTTCTCATGCGAACTTATATTAAATTAATTATTCAGTATTTATATTCAAAGCAATTTTCTTTTTAACAACTTTCTTCGCCTTCCAAAGAGGTGCCCCTGGTTCGATCCCCAGCGATGCCTGGTTGATTCGAAATCCGTACCCGGCTAGCACCGGTCACAGTGCTCCTGAAAATGAAAATATCTTAGTAAATAGATGGATCGTGGGTGTGAGTCCCCTTGCCGTCAAGCTAACCGTGAGAGTTTTCTGTTGTTTTCCTCTCCATGTAACGCAAATGCCGGTTAGTTCCACCAAAAAAGTCCTCCACGATGGCAAATTTTTAACATTACTTAATCCAGGAGTTCCCTTGTCTTATGGATTGGGTTCAAGGTTACGGAGTTGAACATTAGTAGTCGTAAACCCAAATATTGGATCGACTGTCCAACGACGGTGTTAAAATAATGTATATACGTATATATATTGTAGTTTATATTTGAAAAAAAAAAAAAAAAACTTTCAATTTAGGCAATAACATTAGAATCTCTCAATGTCATTTCGTAAAAATAGCTATATACGTGATTACATAAAGCATGACTACAGACTAGCATCCTTGACTTCTCAAATGTTCTCTTCTTTATAATTATTATATAAGTGAAGTCCAGCTTTATTTATTTGTGACTTGTTGTCTGCAAATTTATGAATATTTTGCGTGGGAGCAACTTCAGATTGCCAAAGAACATCATCCAAATTGCATAAGATTAATTTGAGATAGTAGCAAAATTTTAAAATAAACATAACTTAACTGACCAATTTAACACCAAGATCCAGCAATGGATTATGTTATTATTATGGCATGGTGACAGAAATATGCACAATCTACTTCTAAATTTTCCATTCATTTATACAATGCTTACACCAAATTTTGCAATGAATTATGAACATAGAGTGAATCCCATGTACTAGAATGAATCCCATGTACATAATTCATTGTAGAATTTCAAGCTAAACCAACTGATTAAGTCAGCAACGAGATCAAGCAAATAGGCTGTGCATATTGCCATGGTGGTATTGCATGTCAATTGTTTTCGAGGTTTAATTTCCCATTGTCTTAAGCATTCTAGCAATTCTGATTTGCGAAAATTATGCAGCGCCTATAATAGTTCACCATTTTTTATTTTAGTTCACCAAGTATAAACTAAACTTTAACTAACCAAATTAACACCACGATCCAGCAATGGATTATGTATATTTATGGTATGGTGGCAGAAATATGCACAATCCATTACTAAATTTTTCATTCCCTTATACAATGTTTACACCAAATTTTGCAATGAGTTATGAACATGGAATGAATCCCATGTGCATAATTCAGTGCAGAATTTCTAGTTAAACGTGGCAGTTCATGTCATTAGCATTTGATTTGTCATTGTCTTTAACATTATAGCAATGCTGATTAACAACTATGCAGCGCTTCTTATAGAAATAGTCCCCATTTTTTTTCTCTTTTTCTTTTTTGAAATAAACCAGTATGCTCTTTATTATCCTTGAAAATTTGGATTTTCCGAACTATTTTCCTGCTATTCTTCATCATTTAAGTTAATTGTATGCCCGACGGTTAGAATATTATGCGGGTATGTTCAGCAAGATTTTTCATTTTTTTTCGGAGCCAGCCCTTTTGATAGCACACCTATTGGAACGTGCTTATAATTTTGTTGTCAAGCTTTGAATTGTGTTATTTTTTTGTGGTGCGTAGGAGGCCGAGATGTTTCTTGCCCTTTCAACATGCACCTGTAGTTGAAGGCTATGAATAGGAAGAAAAGAAATATTTTCAACGCTTCTTATCATGTCCCAATTCCTTTTTTCTTTTTCATATAAATTTATTTTTTAAAAATTCTTTCCTTTTTACATTTTTTTTGGCGAGGTTTAAAAGGAAAATCATCTAATGGAATACAGAAGCCTCAAAATCTTTAATGAAAACCGCGAACATGAGTAACAATCTTGCAAACCTATTCACTGCTGTAAATATTTTTTAAGCATTTTGTTAAATATGTAAGAGCTTTGATACATTCCTAGACGCGTAGGTATGTGGGTAGAGGCGGAATTGGGACAGATCAAGATTATCTCAATTGAGCGTTTTTATGAATTATTTGAAAGGTGAAATTATTTCAGTTCGTAAAGAAGTAAGCAGACCTCTACATTGTGTGACATCTAAAGAAATTATGTATGAATGAGCTATCGTTATAAAAAAGCTAGATGAAAAAAAATATTTGATTTAGTTGAAGGTTATGAAGTGCCCTTGTACGAATGATCCAAGTTTTCTTTATACAATTTTTATTTTTAACTTCAAAAAATTGTCTCTTTCTGTAAACTTCTGAATGCTTAAGGGGAAGAAAAATTCGATATAAACTCCTTATCTAATTTGGATGTAAGGCTAATAAATTGTTCTTTAAAATAAATTTTTCTTTAAAATATTGAATTCAATATTTTGTCTTCTCAGAACATGGGTTTCATTTTTAAATAAGCTTTTCAGTAGATAAATTTGGCACACTCAAGGGTACCACTCTTCAGTCCTGAGGATTCAATAATAAGGGATTAGTTTCACTGAGAAAGTCCTCCACCAATGAGAGTTCCTTTGTCTTCTGGGACTGGTTCTAAAGTACAAGGTGATTGAATTGAATACTGGTAGCCGCAGATCTAATATGGATTGGGTGTAGAAACGGCGATGATAAAAACCTATCAGTGAAGTTCGTGAAATAAACAAAAAACCTTCTCCAAACTTTAATTAGAGTTTAAAACTGTGAAATTTTCTGTTTGAAATAAGGGAAAAGGTTTTATTCTAAAAAGAATTAAATGCTTGCTATGTTCTTCTAACTGTCTGGTGATAATTGCACATGATACATATCTTTCTTCGCCAAAGTGGAAGGGTATAATTTTTTAT